TGCGTGCGTGCGTGCGTGCGTGCGTGCGTGCGTGCGTGCGTGTGTTTGCACTGCGGTCAGTGTGATAGAGGAGTACATCGCAATCACGTACATCACCTCACTTCATCCAAAATTCATCATGGCTCTCATAATCATGTATGTGATTGCCACTGCTGCGTGTCTGCGGAGTGGGTGAGCGCTGGCTGGGGCTAACTCATGAGCAGGGAAGGCAGGGGGGGGGGGCTGGTCTTGCACGCACGCACGCACGCACGCACACACTAATGTACTCACGCATGTACTCTCACGCAGACGTGCACACACGCTTGAGTACAACCGTGCGTGCACGCATGCAATGCGCTCTTGATTGCCTAGTGACGCTATGCCGGCTCGGTCATTTATGTGGAAAAGGGCTTTGGGATTCCGCATCCAATGGCCACATTAGAGCGTTATAGAAGCTGAGGCAAAGTGCAACGTTTCAGCAGAGCAGTGTTTGCCCCCGCACGAGATGGTGGTGAAGCTAGGCAGCAGCATGCAGCTAGGCTAGCCTCTACACTGTAATTTATCATAACAAGGTTTCTATACAGAACTATTATTCCTTGTTTAGCCAGCGCGCGATTACGAAAGCTTGCACTGCCCACCAAATTTGGATTGACGTGGTAATACTGTTGCGTGCTCCCGTGTAGCAACTTGATGTTCAAGATGTCTCTTCGTTCTTCTGCAGTTTGCCGGATGATCGGGGATTTGAACGCTACTACGAGCGGGACATTTACAACCGGCATCTGGTAGGCTACCACGAAAGTGATGACATGCAAAGCCAGGGCCGCCGGCACAGATACAACCGCGCATCTTTCCAGGCCAAAGACAGGTTCGTTATTTGTGGTCTCTAGGGGTGGGGGTGTTTTCCCTCGCGTGGCGACTGTGGTGGTGAGAACATTGTTCATTAATGATTTTCGAACGTGAGAGAATTATGAGTTCGTGCTGCTTGTTGGCCAACGTACGTCCATTCGCCAGTGTTATATCTTGTCTCATCAGTGTTCACCTGTATGTGCTCACTAGTATCCTATCTGACCTCATGTTACTATTGTATGTGTGTGCTCACTAGTATCAGGAGTAGATAATAGGGAATTCCCTAATATTAATAATAATTCCCTATTATCTACTGCTAGTATTCTATCTCACCCCATGTATGTGTGTGCTCACTAGTATTCTATCACACCTCATGTATGTGTGTGCTCACTTGTATTCTATCTCACCTCATGTATGTGTGTGCTCACTAGTATTCTATCTCACCCCATGTATGCGTGTGCTCACTAGTATTCTATCTCACCTCATGTATGTGTGTGCTCACTAGTATTCTATCTCACCTCATGTATGTGTGTGCTCACTAGTATTCTATCTCACCCCATGTATGTGTGTGCTCACTAGTATCCTATCTCACCTCATGTATGCGTGTGCTCACTAGTATCCTATCTCACCTCATGTATGCGTGTGCTCACTATCTTCCTATCTCATCTTATCTCATGTATGCGTGTGCT